CTAGCTTTTGAGCAAGGGAAACCTTTACAGGATGGTGGGAGCCCTCCTCAGACAGGCCATTCTGTAAGGTTGGGGGGCCACAACAGAGAAGGCCATGCACAGGTAGTTCTTGATTTTGCCCATTTGCAAGGTGGCACCCACAGGAGGCCCTACTCAGGTGAGCGAAGCTGTCACGGCAGAGCACAGCGGGGGAGGCCATCCCGCGGGTATGCATGAGGGACCAAGGCTGTGAAGGGCTTTGTATGTGACAGCCAGCCCCTTAAACTGGATATGAATTACTCTGCCTCTAGAGCAGGCAGAATGGCCACACCCCATGCCTTCCCTTGGCTTGCCCGGGTGCCCTGCGGCTGTGGGGAGCCCAGGCAACACCCCCCTTGAAGGGAAGGCAGTTTAAACTGCCTTTTCTTGGCTTGCCCGGGCACCCTGTGGCTGCGGGGAGTCCGGGGAAGCCAGCCCTTGGACAGGTAAGGGAAGGCACAGGGAGGCATTTAAATGCCTCCCCAATCCTTCCAGGGCCCCCCAGCCCACATGCATCGGAGTCACTGGGGGTATGTGTTGCTCTCCAGGCCTTCCCTCTATAGCCAGGCATGCAGAGGTTTTGGCTGCAGTGGGTGTGGCCAACTCTGAAGCCAGCCGGAACTCCGTTCCTGTGCATTCCCGCCCCAGAATAGCCCTGGTTTTAAAGCCCTTTATGGTCAGGGACCTACATACCCAAAAGACCGCCTTTCCCCATATGTTCCCAGAGAGCACTGTGATCAGGGTCACAACATCGATTGGCCCTCCCCAGTTCCAAGGATGCCAGGCTGGCAGAGCCAGGGCTTTCTCGGTGGCGGCTCCTTTCTGGTGGAATGAGCTCCCAGAGGGGATCAGGGCCCTGCAGGACGTTATGCAGTTTCACAGGGCCTGCAAGACGGAGCTCTTCTGCCAGGCCTTTAATTTGGAGCCGCCCCCGATAGGGAACCCCGTCACCTGAAGCCGTAAGAACAGCCTGTGCCAGCTGCACAAAGATTAGATCAATGGGCTGACCGCTAGGAAGGAATACTGAAGGTCGACCGCCATCGTTTAATAATCTATTAGTGTTATTAGTTGCTAGCACTTTTAAATGTGGATATGTTTTATCTGATTTTAGGACGATTTTAAATTTGTGTGTATGTTTTATTCTGTTTGTAAGCCGGCCTGAGCCGCTCTTGGCTGGGAGGGCGGGGTATAGATCTAAATTAAAAAAAATGAAAACAGCACTGCACAAGAGGAGGGAATTCCTTCTGTTAGAATTACCAATGCCTATGCTTTTTGTGTCCCCTTGATATATTCTAGGGTCCCGTTTGGGCTTTAAAAGCTGTGCTTGCTTCTACGTTTTCCTCACTGTCGCTCCTCGACAGTGATAAAAGGGTTGGGGGAAAAAAGGGGGGTGGAACACTTTCCCTATGAGGAAAGGTTAAGGCGCTTAGGGCTCTTTAGCTTGGAGAAACAACGACTGATGGGTGACATGATTGAGGTTTATAAGATTATGCATGGGAAAGAGCAGGTAGAGAAAGAGGTACTTTTCTCCCTTTCTCACAATACAAGAACTTGTAGGCACTCAATGAAATTGCTGAGCAGTCAGGTTAGAATGGATAAAAGGAAGTATTTCTTCATCCAATACACAGGAGGTGGCGGCAGCTACAAGCATGGACGGCTTCAAAAGGGAATTAGATAGGCATATGGAGCAGAGGTCCATCAGTGGCTATTAGCCACAAGGTATAGATAGGGACTCTGGGGCAAGTGATGCTCTGTCATCTTGGTGCTTGGGGGGGGGGTCAACAGGGGGGGGGCTTCTAATGTCCTGGCCCCACTGGTGGACCTCCTGATGGCACTGGTATTTCTGGCCACTGTGGGATACAGAGTGTTGGACTGGATGGGCCTTTGGCCTGATCCAACATTGGCATCTGTTCTTATGTTCTTATGTTCCTCCCACCAGGGGTACACACAATCAGGGCACCGGGACAGGGGAATGCTACTGACACCCCCCCCCAGATGTGAAACCTGCCTCCTTTCCCTTTCAATGCAAAACTCACCTGAATGTTTCTTATGAAGCTGACCGTCACTCGCTCTTCAAACTCGTTCACAGGAGTGTAGAGATTCAGTATTTTTACAATCTGTTAAGGGGGAAAATCAGAGAGAGATTTTACTGCTGCCTTCGGGCAGAAGATATAGGACAATTAAAACAAGGACAAACAGATTAAAAATTATAGTTTTCATTCGAGAGCTATTACTGCCTTAAATGCTGTATGAAATTGGAATTTGGGTGACATTACTGGTTTTAAGTTGCTATGTGAACCTTAAGGGAGTTATGAGATAGTTGTGAATGGTTGTGTGAGTGTATATGAATATTGTTGTAGATCACCGAAATGACTGCATCTTAATTTCGTTGTACTATGTACAATGACAATAAAGTATATTACTATATTACTTACTTACTTATTACTTACTGTAGGGGATACAGAGGGTGGAATGGCTATGGAACATACCGTCCTAGTGGTAATTTAATGACTGGGGAAATTACACAACTTTTAAGACGGATGATGAAGGAACTGAAATTGTTCCAAGATTTGCTGTTTCTTAGCTCCATCATCAACCCAAAGGGAGACGGCAACCAAGAAATCCGAAGGAGACAGAGACTGGGGAGGGCAGCCGTGAAGGAGCTAGGAGAGATTCTTAAGTATCAAGAGGTGCTGCTGGCGACCGAGCTCAAGATCCAACATGGCTTCTCGTATGTCCTTATTGCTGTAGTCGGGAGATCTCCGGGTCCCACCTGGGGGTTGGCAACCCTAGTTTTGAAACAGTGAACTTGTGGGAACGGGTGGAAGAAAGTTTAAAGACATGGGGAACG